AGTGAGAGCTAGTCGAACAGTGATCCTGTTCATAATGTCAAAATTAGCCAGAGAGTAAAATAGAGACAACAAAGTCAATGTTTATTTGTATATCTACTTTTTTTCATCTTTTGACTTGGTTACAATGCTATTCCTGAGCTATTCAAAAACATGAGCATCATCTGAGCAGCAGCTCCTCCCTCTCTGGCCATAGCAAATCTCAGTAGCTGCATTTACCTGCTCCCTCCAAGAAGATCCCACCTTGAATGTAGTGTCCCTGCCCAGTGAACAGCATGCCTGCTTACTCAGACCAGTGATAAGAGATGTGAAGAAACACAAGCTGATTTCTGCTCAAAGTTAAGGTGAAGTGGCTGTTAAAGCAACTTCTTTGAGCAGCAACAGCTAGCATTTGTTGTTTTAACTGGTGTCTTAATAGTCAAAATGTGCTTTTTAGTTGAGTGAGAGGTGTCATAATTTGTTCCACCTACTTAAAAAGGAGCTTAATCCACAGAAGTGGTTTGACATGGGGGCATCATGAAATGTGTGGCACCCACACAGTGAGAGATGGTGTATTTTTGAAACTCTGCAGTGTCAAAGTAAATATTTAATCTTATAACTATAGTTTACTTTGGAAGGATTAAAAGAAAAAAGCATGATATAGGACCTTAGCGATGGTGAATACAAAAGGCCTGTGGTCTTCAAGGAATGGGTTTCCATTGCCGAGCAGCTGCATCCCAGCCATACATAACCAGTTGCAATATATTGGATGCAGTAGTGTAAAACAAATTGCCAATGGGCTCCAAAGCAGTAAAGATGTGTTCTCTGGAGTTAAAAACCACACTTCTCTATCTGGAAATCTGATGGATGAGTCTGGGTTTGGTGGTTGCCAGGAGAACGGCACTTGTCAGAATACTTTGTGCAAAATATAAAGTTTGGTGGAGGGGGATTATGGTCTGGGGATATATGTATGAAGGAGCTGGGCCTGGCCCCTTAGCTCCAGTGAAAGGAACTCTGAACACTTCATCATACCAAGATATTTTGGACAATTGAATGCTCTCAACTTTGTGCAAAGAGTTTGGAGCTGGCCCCTTCCTCTTCCAACATGACTGCACCGGAGCACAAAGCAAGGTCTATAAGGACATTGATTGGAATTCTTCAGTGGATAAACTTGACTGGCCTGTACAGAGTCCTGACCTCAAACCTACAGAACATTGTTGGGATGAATTACAGCCGAGACTACAGGCAAAGCCTTATCATCTAACATCAGTGTAGGACCTCACAAATGTGCTTCTGAAAGAGCGGTCTATATATACACTATATTGCCAAAAGTATTTGCTCACCTGCCTTGACTCACATATGAGCTTAAGTGACATCCCGTTCCTAATCCATAGGGTTCAATATGACGTCGGTCCACCCTTTGCAGCTAGAACAGCTTCAACTCTTCTGGGAAGGCTGTCCACAAGGTTTAGGAGTGTGTTTATGGGAATTTTTGACCATTCTTCCAGAAGCGCATTTGTGAGGTCGCACACTGATGTTGGACGAGAAGGCCTGGCTCTCAGTCTCCGCTCTAATTCATCCCAAAGGTGTTCTATCGGGTTGAGGTCAGGACTCTGTGCAGGCCAGTCAAGTTCATCCACACCAGACTCTGTCATCCATGTCTTTATGGACCTTGCTTTGTGCACTGGTGCACAGTCATGTTGGAAGAGGAAGGGGCCAGCTCCAAACTGTTCCCACAAAGTTGGGAGCATGGAATTGTCCAAAATGTCTTGGTATGCTGAAGCATTCAGAGTTCCTTTCACTGGAACTAAGGGGCCAAGCCCAGCTCCTGAAAAACAACCCCACACCATAATCCCCCCTCCACCAAACTTTACACTTGGCACAATGCAGTCAGACAAGTACCGTTCTCCTGGCAACCGCCAAACCCAGACCCGTCCATCAGATTGCCAGATGGAGAAGCGCGATTCGTCACTCCAGAGAACGCGTCTCCACTGCTCTAGAGTCCAGTGGCGGCGTGCTTTACACCACCGCATCCGACGCTTTGCATTGCACTTGGTGATGTATGGCTTGGATGCAGCTGCTCGCCCATGGAAACCCATTCCATGAAGCTCTCTGCGCACTGTTCTTGAGCTACATGAAGTTTGGAGGTCTGTAGTGATTGACTCTGCAGAAAGTTGGCGACCTCTTCGCACTATGCGCGTCAGCATCCGCTGACCCCGCTCCGTCAGTTTACGTGGCCTACCACTTCGTGGCTGAGTTGCTGTCGTTCCCAAACACTTCCATTTTCTTATAATACAGCTGACAGTTGACTGTGGAATATTTAGGAGCGAGGAAATTTCACGACTGGATTTGTTGCACAGGTGGCATCCTATCACAGTTCCACGCTGGAATTCACTGAGCTCCTGAGAGCGACCCATTCTTTCACAAATGTTTGTAAAAACAGTCTGCATGCCTAGGTGCTTGAATTTATACACCTGTGGCCATGGAAGTGATTGGAACACCTGATTCCAATAATTTGGATGGGTGAGCAAATACTTTTGGCAATATAGTGTATATATATATATATATATATATATATATATCTATATATCTATATATATATATATATATATATGTGAGTCAAGGCAGGTGAGATAATACCTTTGGCAATATAGTCTATGTATTTATCTGTGGTACGATGCACCTTCTTGGTGACTGGGGAGAGAAACGTGATGGTGAGAAAACCTTTAAAAATTGCCTATGCTTTGATTAAGGATTTGAGCTTCCTTTTTATGAATTGACAAATCTTTCAGAATAGTAATGGTTCATCAGTACAAGCACTAGTTACACTGTGATATTGGATGCTTATAATGTCATCCATCTATTTTACATAACCTTGAACATCTGAGAAGACTTAATCTGGCTTCACTTCTACACCTTAGGATAAAAAGTGTCAAAATTAAATAAATAAATACAGCATTAAATAAATAATTAAATGTGTCAATAATTAATTAAATGTGGAATTAAATAAATACATAAATAAAATATGTCTTCATTTTATTAAAACAATATATATAATTATTTCAGTGCAGTGCATCGAAATCATTAAAAGAATCTGTCAAACTCACCCATCAAAGTTAGGGGGCAGGGTTAACGCGAATCGAGTCGCCACCTACTGTATAAGGCCCCGTCCACACGAAGCCGAACCCTGGCCTAAACGCACAAATTTTTCACCAAACCAGCCTCTCGTCCACACGAAGCCGGCGTTTCGGGGGTCTGTAAACGATCTTTTTTTTTATTCAGCCTTCAGAGTAGGAAGATTTTGAAACGCCGTTTTCGCGTTTCCATCTTTAAGCTCTAACCGCATTTTTTTTTTTTTACACGCATGCGTCATAGCGTCGACTCTAAACACGCATGCGTGGCACAGTATCACAACAACAATGGCGCCGTACTGTGTTGAATGGTTGCTGCTCATGCTACTCACCCTGCTGTCGGGCTTACAACAGAATCTTCTTCTTCTGGAATATCTCCAGGAAGAACAGAGCAATATCGACGACATAGTTCAGCACCTGAATTTGACTTAACGACGAAAATGGACCCGCAGGGCAACCATGTATAAATATTAGTGTGCATGCCCAACATTTCGTCGCTTATTTTTGCTTTGGCACCACAGCACCACTTACAGGCCTGGCATACATTTTGCAGCGTTTTCATGCATTCGTGTGGACGATCACATTTATTTTACATCTCCGTCTTTACGACAAACGTTTTGGAAAATATCAGCGTTTCGTGTTCGTTTTGACTTCGTGTGGACGGGGCCTAAGAGTATGTCCACAACCTGTGGATTACAGTCTCTGTAATCGCCTTAATGTGCAGGGTGACCAATCAGGTGTTAGATAACCGCCCCCTAACTGTGATGGGTGAGTTTGACAGATTCTTTTAATGGTTTTGATGCATTGCGACACAGGACCATGAAATAATTAAATGCACACTGAAATAATTATATATATTTTTTTAATAAAATGAAGACGTATTGTATTAAATTAATGACATATTTATATATTTAATTCATTATTTATTTAATGAATTACACATTTAATTAATTGTTTATCGCTGTATTTATTTATTTAATTGTGGCACTTTATGTTAGTGACGTGGTTTTAATTAATGAATGACACATTTATTTATTTAATTCCACATTTAATGAATTATTGACACATTTAATTATTTATTTAAGGCTGTATTTATTTATTTAATTTTGGCACTTTTTATCCTTCATACTTACAGCTGTATTGTCGTTTTTTTTCCCCCAAAATGTGCCTCTCTGCCAGGTTTCTTAAGTACAAAATTTTAGGACCGGTTTTTTGTGTGTGTGCAATCTTGACAAATAAGAGCCTTGATCATTGTCGCTCAGAAACTTTGTAAGCAACAAGGAAATGGTGTTATACTGGATATTGTAATACATTTCTTAATCTCAAAAAAAATCTGTGATTATGTTTGGTGTTTAACAAAAATAAATTACTGTGGAAATCATAGCTGACCTAAATACAGGGAATGATGTTTGTATCTTTGTATATGGTTTATGTATTTATATGGTTTCATATGTACAGGTCAATGGGGTCTGAATATTTTTTATAAAGTTGTCAAAATCTCTTTCTTCAATTAATGCCCATTTTATTAAGTATTCAATTTCTATTCAAATATTTGACTCCTTGTAAAAAGGCACTTATACAAAGCTAGTTTCCATTTACTTACATCAGTGGTGTCATGTTTATCTCCACACTTATCACAGTACAGCTGGTCCTCTCCATCAAATTTTGCATCCTTTAAAAACTCGTTAATGGCGTCCTCCTGAAAAAGCACTTGTATTACTTACACTGACTTTGAAAAGGTTGTTTTTTTACCAGGAGCTATCAGATAAAACATTCTGCCAACTCTGGCTATTACAAATATATTATCATAAATCATTGACTAGTCCAGGTCACACTTATGACTGGAGTTTGTTCTGGAATAAAATGGTTTCGAGTTTGCAGATTGTTTCTCACCACACTGTAGTTTTGATCACTAGAATCCATCAGTGGAAGAGAAAGATACCAAAATGGTGCATCTTCTTCAGTATGTGCAGAACATCCACCACAGACAGTCCTGTGGGTCAGGTGTCCTTTAAATACCTGAAAGCACATTTTGATAGAAAACAAGCATCTATACTTAATGCAGATTCTCTAATTCGGTCTCCATCCTGATCTCACAGTGATTTGATGAATCATTTACCTTTGATGCTTCATCACTGACCATAGATAAAATCTTCTCAAAGTATTGACCAGCATCATACTGTTCATTCACTGGGAGAATAGAGGAACAATTATCTATGAAACACAGCATCTTTATAATAATTATAATGAATCGTACTGTTCATTTTATTTTCTCTAAAGCTTTTCAGGCTTTGTGCTGCTGCTTATACATTTTAATATCCCAGTTCTAATTTATCTCCCTAATCCAGAAACAAGCTCATCATTCTTTAATGCATTTTATAATTTACCTCTTTCTATCCCCAGCTTCCTTGTTACGTCTCTGGTTTCTGATGTTCTTTCCTTTAAACTTTCAAACAAACTATGCAGTTGAACATCAATGCGATCTTTATGGTCTATAGGACATCTGTTAATAAAAAGTTGTCAGAGATACAGAGGCTACCATAAAATAAAGAAGATGTTGTAACATAAAAAATGGTGTTTGATTGATTCACCAACCTTTCTACAGCCTCTCTGAACTCCTTGGTCATAAACAGAACCTGCAGAATACTGTTCAGGTAGCATGTTGCTCCTTGGTTCCTCAACCCATAGTACTTAATGTCTGTGGGACATTCAGATATAAAACATCTGTACATTAATGATAGAAGATGGTCATTCCCATCTTTACTGGAAGGTCGGCATGAAAGTCTTACCTTGTTTCATACTGAATCATTCAAGACTGCACCGATTTTCTTCACAGTGCAGAAAGAATTTCTATTGTAGAACAACCGCTGATATAGAGAGTAAAAGCCACTCCTAGGACTGCAGAGAGAGGGAGGGAGTAAACAAAATGCTTTCTCTTTTGTTTTCTTATTAGAATACTTTATCCAGCAAATGTTATGGTTCTTCCCATTTGTTGTGACTCTGAGTTTTCAGTTTTCTGTTATCAGTTGTTTTGTTTGTTGATTTATTTTCCATCATATTAGAGCATTCTTTTGTTACTCTCTGTTGCCCCATTGTGCTTGTTTTTTTCCCCTTGGATTCCTTCTTGCCAGTTCTACCCACACCTGCTCCTTATTCAGCTCATTAGTCCATCCTTTGTTCTGTTCCCCTTAAATACTCCACGTCTGCAGTCACTCAGTGCTGGTCCCTTGTCGTCACTGTTATTGTCTTCTCACCTCGTCTCTCCCTGGCTCTCCTTCATGCTCGTTTTCCCCGGATGTCTCCATGGTTTTTGGTTTGTTTAACATTTTAAGTTGGATTTTTGGATTGGTGCCTCTGTTTTTGCCTGTGTTCTTCAATTAAATCTGTCAGAACTCATCTCTGCTTCACTCGTCTCAGCATCTGGGTCCTCAAGCAACCTCACCACCCATATTTGACAGGAGGAACCAGCCAAGATGGACCTAGCAGAGTCAAACATTGCAGGAAGCATGACAGACTTTCTGAAGAACTGTCGGATCACTCTGGATAAGATTGCCACTCACAGGTTCAGGGTTTCATGAGTCCAACAGCGAGTTCAGGCAGAAACATTTCGATGGAAACAGGTAGGCTCAGTAGTTGAGAGGCAGAACAAGACATGATATCAGGAAAACTAAAGAACTTAAAACTACCTCCCTCCACTGAGCCAAAACAGGAACAGTGCACATTCAGTGGATAAGAGCCAGGACATGATCAGGAAACAAGACAACTCTAAAAACCCTCCCTCGCCACTGGCCTTGTAGAACGAGAACACGTACTATGGAAAACCGCAATGATCACCGACTCAAACTAAAAAATAATGATCTGGCCACGATAGCTGAGCTATATATAAAGCAGACGGAGCAGGTGGATAAGATGAGTGACAATTAGTAAACGGGCAGTGTTAGGAAGGTTTTTGTCTTGTGTACCCCCTTGGCAATTTTATCATATAAGGAGTACCCCTTGGGCCAAACGTGTAGATTATTTTCTAAATAATATTTAATTAAGAATATTTAATTTCTTTAACTTGAATATTTAATGCTCAGACACGTAATTGTTTTCAATTAGAATAAAAAATGTGCTGTCTTCCTGCTCTCACTTGCAGAGAAGTGGTGCAGGTGCACAGCACTGATATCCACTTAAGTTATCATGTAAATGTTGATTAGAAAGTTTTCTTTTTATCTATTTGGTTGATAAAATATAGGTTTATTTTGCAGTTGGGTTGTTGCAGAGCAGCCCAATTTATTGTATTTCTTTATCTGGGAGGTAAAATATTAAATGTTTTATGTACCCCTTGCAATGCATTGGTGGACCACTGGGGGCACTAGTACCCTTGCTTGGGAATCCCTGATCTAGGCACAATAAGGCACAGTGTGCAATGTGCAAAAGTATCTCAGAATGCATTGGATGTTGAACCTTAAAGTAGATCGGTCATTCCAGCAGAAGACCACCATCAGCTAACCCTTCTTTTATCCTTGGGATCAATTTGACCCCAGTCAAAGTTCCCCATCTTTGATTAAATATCTAACATATTTTATGACCTTTCCTGATTTAACAAAGAGATACGGAAAGATTCAAGAATGAGGAATTTTTTAGTGTCCTGTATAAATATTGTACACAATTCACCTTTACTACCATAAACTCTTTATCTGATTTAGGGCAGGGAGTTTTTATGCTCTGTCCAGAACAGTGGATTAAAGCAGGGAGGTGTTTTTTTGGACAAGCAGAGAATCGCCAAGTCCTGCTGGGAAATGAAAACAGTATCTACATAAATGTTATCTGCGGACTCAAGTATCTACCATAAATATGCTCTAAATTGCCCTGCTAAATGGCTGGACTGTTTTTGAAACTATTGAAACACGGTAAACCGAAATCAGCTGATAAGCAAATCTTAACTGACTGTGGAAACTTCACTATGTACTTTAGTTGCCTCCAACCTGTATCTCCTTATTCTGGAAGCTTGACTACCAAATAAAATGCAAAATGTACTCTCATGTGGAATACTGATTTTAAATCAGTGATCAACAATCCAAATCACATTTAATTTAGTCCATGTAGGACACTTCTGAAAGAGTTACTAGTTTAATATGAGCTTAATACTTGGGTCAGGTTGTAATCTATGAACAAGATACATTAATGGGTAGCAGCTCTTGAAACACTGACTCCAGCTTCTGTCGAAACCTTTAGAATCTCATCAAATATCCTAATTATTTTAAAAACTATTTTTCCACTGTAAGAAAAAGAAGCATATATATATATATATATATATATATATATATATATATATATATATATATATATATATATATATATATATATATAGATAGATAGATAGATATATCTATCTATATATATATAGATATATATAAAGATATATATATATATAGATATAGATATATGCATACATCTATCTATCTATCTATCTATCTATCTACACATATCTCTCTCTCTCTCTCTATATATATATATATATATATATATATATATATATATATATATATATATATATATATATACACTATATTGCCAAAAGTATTTGCTCACCCATCCAAATTATTGGAATCAGGTGTTCCAATCACTTCCATGGCCACAGGTGTATAAATTCAAGCACCTAGGCATGCAGACTGTTTTTACAAACATTTGTGAAAGAATGGGTCGCTCTCAGGAGCTCAGTGAATTCCAGCGTGGAACTGTGATAGGATGCCACCTGTGCAACAAATCCAGTCGTGAAATTTCCTCGCTCCTAAATATTCCACAGTCAACTGTCAGCTGTATTATAAGAAAATGGAAGTGTTTGGGAACGACAGCAACTCAGCCACGAAGTGGTAGGCCACGTAAACTGACGGAGCGGGGTCAGCGGATGCTGACGCGCATAGTGCGAAGAGGTCGCCAACTTTCTGCAGAGTCAATCACTACAGACCTCCAAACTTCATGTGGCCTTCAGATTAGCTCAAGAACAGTGCGCAGAGAGCTTCATGGAATGGGTTTCCATGGTCGAGCAGCTGCATCCAAGCCATACATCACCAAGTGCAATGCAAAGCGTCGGATGCGGTGGTGTAAAGCACGCCGCCACTGGACTCTAGAGCAGTGGAGACGCGTTCTCTGGAGTGACGAATCGCGCTTCTCCATCTGGCAATCTGATGGACGGGTCTGGGTTTGGCGGTTGCCAGGAGAACGGTACTTGTCTGACTGCATTGTGCCAAGTGTAAAGTTTGGTGGAGGGGGGATTATGGTGTGGGGTTGTTTTTCAGGAGCTGGGCTTGGCCCCTTAGTTCCAGTGAAAGGAACTCTGAATGCTTCAGCATACCAAGACATTTTGGACAATTCCATGCTCCCAACTTTGTGGGAACAGTTTGGAGCTGGCCCCTTCCTCTTCCAACATGACTGTGCGCCAGTGCACAAAGCAAGGTCCATAAAGACATGGATGACAGAGTCTGGTGTGGATGAACTTGACTGGCCTGCACAGAGTCCTGACCTCAACCCGATAGAACACCTTTGGGATGAATTAGAGCGGAGACTGAGAGCCAGGCCTTCTCGTCCAACATCAGTGTGCGACCTCACAAATGCGCTTCTGGAAGAATGGTCAAAAATTCCCATAAACACACTCCTAAACCTTGTGGACAGCCTTCCCAGAAGAGTTGAAGCTGTTCTAGCTGCAAAGGGTGGACCGACGTCATATTGAACCCTATGGATTAGGAACGGGATGTCACTTAAGCTCATATGTGAGTCAAGGCAGGTGAGCAAATACTTTTGGCAATATAGTGTATATATATATATATATATATATATATATATATATATATATATATATACCGTATATATATATATACATATATATGTATATATGCTTCTTTTTCTATCACAATTCTTATTTTCACAAAAAATAACCAACACTTTAATTTCCACAATAAGGCTCTTTTAGACAAAGATTTCAACAGTTTACAGAGGATAAAAAATATATAAAGCAACACAGTTTAAAAACAAAGAGGAAACACTAAAAGAAATGTTATAACTCGAGGCTCAGGAACAAGCTGCATAAGATGGAGTGAGCCATTGGGTCTTTAGCCTAGCTTTAAAAATCTCCACAAACCAATCCTGCCGAATAGCTTGAGGGAGATTTTTCCATAGCACAAAAGGAAACAGAGAGCTCCCCAACAGGTGTTTTTAGCTTTAGTAACTTTTAAAGCACTAGTACCAAGAGCCCACAGGTGCAGAAAGTTGGAGGAATAGGAAGGCGTCAGACTATTTAGACCCTTACAGTGGAGAAGCAAGACCTAAAAATTTGCTTGAATCTGACAAGTCAGCCAATAAATCGATGTCAGTTTGGAATAATATGAAAGGCAGAGAAAGCAGAATAAAGCATTAGCCTCACTACATGCAGCTAAACTAGGTCCTGGAAAAAGTGTACTGTCTCCATCTGTCTGACCGATGATTAATTTTGATGTTCAGCTTATCAGTTCCGAATGATTTCACCTCCAGCTTCTCTTGGTAAGTTTGCTTTAAGGGACTTCAGTCAATCTTTCTTCCATCATTTCTGTCTTTCTCTCCAATCGTCTCCCAACTTCCTCAACTCGACATGTCAATCAGCCGCACCACGACTGTGACGCAGCTTCCTGTCACCTTAGAGCACAGCTCTCCTGCTCCCAGAGCTATCCTATTCTTTTGCATTGCAGAGGAGCTACTGCGAATGTAAAACTTCTAACGAGAGTCTATGGCCAAAGATTTTTGTTCCCCAGAGCGGAAATACGTCACCAATCCGACAACGACAGAAAACAGCTTTACTTGTCATTAAACATTAGATATTTATCTGGTACGGCTAAAAAACATATTAATATATTTTGAAATATTTTAATTTTATAATTTAATTTTATGGGTTTTTTTAATATCTAAATCAATGTCATTTGGTGGGTGCACCCTAGCTCCCTCTATTGGCCAGCCACCGCTAGTATGAACACTGAAATGTATCGATAAGATCCCCCACATTGAAATAAATGCTAAAATCTCTTTTTACAATGTTCCTAAGAAGATTTAGTAAAAGAAAGTTTTTCCAACATCTTTTTAGACTCATAAAGTAGTGCATTATATCAAACCAACACCCAAGTTCCTGCATGTTATGGATAAAACAATAACCTACAAAGAGATAAAGAATAAGATTAAAATCACATTTTGAACAATATTTTTTCATTGAATAAACAAAAGATAAATTGACATTTTGCTGCATCAACAATAATTTAATAGTACAGGATTACAAGAGGCAAATACCATAAAAGAAATATCAAATAACACAGAACAGCTCCTTATTATTGAAATAAATTAGTTAAACATCAGTGTGTGTCCCAGCTTTAACTTCAGGGAAACTGTAAAGAACAAAATCCTAATAAGACTCTGTGTGCCACACAGGTATAGATTTCTGTCTAGGAGCAATGCCGCTGCAGAACATTGCTGCATCACATTCATTAGTGCTCTTTAGGCAGCTAAAACAAAATTCCATGTGACATCGAGGACATGAAACATTTTCACATCCTATCCCGGTGTGCTGGATCAGTGAGCCACAGGTTGGACAGGCACGGACAGACGGACACCCTTTGGCTCCATCCTCAGTCTGAATTTGGATTTCTGGACACTCTCTCAGGGTTTTCAGGGCAGAATTGTGGCAATCATCATTTTCACAGCGGTCGGATCGGGGCTGTTTACCTTTCCACTCCCTCAAACACTGCCAGCAGAATGCAAAGATGCATCCTGTTTTTGCTGAGCACACTTTGCAGTGAACGTAAAGGTTTAAGCTGCTCCCTCTGGTCACAGGAGACATGCATCCAGGACACTGTCAGGATAGATAATGTGTGGGGGTGAAATAAAAACAGAGGGATTTGCAAACAGATTCAAACTCAATGGCAGCTTTTGTGTCATTAAACAGATACTTACAAACTTGGAGTTAGGATTTCTAGCAGCAGCGTTCTGGGCCATGGTTTCCTCGAAGTATTTCCTTTCTTCAGGAGTCAGGAGGGCCATTTTACAGACCTCTTCGTAAGTCCATACAGCATCACAGCCAGACTGACCGCAAACAAACCTGCTTTCGCCCTTTATATAAACAGTCAGAGAAATGTTAAGGATTAAATAATAATATCACCATAAATAACATGGATATAATGTATGGTGTGGTATGATTAAACTGGCAACTTCACTGTTTTTATATGTATAAAATGTTAGTCTGAAAATAAAAAAAATTGAATTTATGCAACTACATAGGCTTATGTGCAATAGAAGTAAAACAAAGTGCACTAAGTGATAAACACAGACACATTGTTAAATGTAACAGCACTGTGGTAAATTAAAAAAATCTATGTGTGTCCTGTTGGAAGGAATCCATTTTGGTGCATTGGAAGTCAGGTAAACTCAATTTAAAAGTGAGCAATCTTTAAACAGCCAGTTTATATCATCAATTAAGCTAAAAAAGTATGCATAAGTTAAACATAACCAAGACAACTTTCACTTTTTTCATAGAAAATGTGTCATTTTTAATCATCCTTGAATTGTTTCTATATCTTAAATGAAGTAAACCAGTGGTAAATTCAATTGATTGGACGCCAGAGTGTTGTCCAGTTTTGGGTACTCTAGCAAAACTGAGATTAGTTGAGTCTAACCTGAGCCTTATGTTGTTTTTGTCTTTGCTCTTTGGCAGGAAGTCTTCCTGTGTAACTGGATACCTGGACCTTCTCCCCTGGAAGGATTTACTGAGTTCAAACTGAGCAGGGGAAATCATCCACATGAGCTGTTCAAGTTCCCATTGGAAAGCCTAGTGACAGTCTACTCTCCATTACTCCGGGTCCAACGTATGTCTACCTGTCCGCTCTCCAACGAGTTCCCTCTTCTCTGTATCATCCCATACAGACTGGGTTCAAGGATTGACAAGAGCCCCATCAAATGTGAGTCCCATTCCAGCTTAATTCAAGCCGCAGCCTCATTTTCCACAGTCCCTGAACTGATCTCTGTGATCTCCCCTTCAGACTTTCCAGTTCCGGTTCACCAGTTCACTGAGTTCCAGATCCAACCTCCGTTCACATTGCTATATACAGTATAAACCTGTTAAACTTTACCCCGTGTTCTCTGAGTGGTTTTTCTGCATGTGGGTCAGATTCCTTAAACAGATCATGACACATCCTTTCACTTCAGCATGTTGGTGGCACCATTATAGTATGGGGGTACAGCAGGAACTGACAGATTGGACAGGAAAGAGGAATGCAGCAATGTACAGACAGAGCAGGATGAAGACCCATTCCAGAGCACTCAGTGACCTCATATTGAGGAAATAATCAAAAACCACAGCCAAGATCTCACAGGAGTAGCTTTAGAAACATCAAGCGCTTACATAAGGGAGTATTAATACACTCCTGATGCTCTGTAATTATTTAATAGAGAAGAAAAACTAGAAAAAAAATTATAATTTGTTTTTATATATTATTCAGCATTATCTGTAGGTTTAAAACGTGGGGGGGGGGGCTCCTTGGGCAGTGTTGTTAAGGGTGCCATGGCATAGCAAGGTTTATAACCTCTGATTTAAGGGTATCATACGGAAGAGGATTAGGGCCACTGGAAAAAAAAAAATGTACTGATTTTTTTATTTTATTTAAGTTTAGTATGGGAAAAGTCAGAATTCTGACTTTTTTCTCAGAATTCTGACTTTAATCTCAGAATTCTGACTTCTTTCTCAGAATTCTGACTTTTTTCTCAGAATTCTGACTTTAATCTCAGAATTCTGACTTCTTTCTCAGAATTCTGACTTTAATCTCAGAATTCTGACTGTATTCAGATAATAAAAAGAAGTCAGAATTCTGAGATTAAAGTCAGAATTCTGAGAAAAAAGTCAGAATTCTGACTTTTTTCTCATATTAAACTGAAATAAAATTTAAAAATCAGCTAACTTTTTTTTTCAGTGGCCCTAATCCTCTTCCATGGTATCATGATTTAAAATGTATTGAAAATACAAATTCCATAGTTTACAATCAAATGTGATTTTATGGTTTTGTATGATTTTTTGTTTTTTTTTACTTTACTTTTTATGTGCCAACTAACCATTTAGTAGTAAAGATCTTTGTAACATTTTAATTCGGGTTCTTTGTTTGCTTTCAGTGTGAGCTTGCTGCTCTGTTACCTTTTCCATCAAATGTTTGCACCACTTTGTGAGAGACATCGGGGTCACCACATGTCCACAGGACATCCGAGCTCTTGGAGATGCAAAACCTTCACATAAAACTATAGAAACAAATTTAATGAGATCATCCAAGATGCTGTAAAACAGGCTGGCTTAAACTCAAGGTAACATTTATCGAAGAAGCTAAGATAGACGGAGGCAGATTGTCCAGCTCCAGCCCTGCAATGGCTTGATAAATTAAAATAAGCCACTTACAGTCAAACTGATCCTCTTCATTCACAAAGAGGATCGTCGTATCCCTCAGATTATAACACTTTATTTTAGCTGCAGCGCTCATCTTGGGAGTTTTCTTGTTTTCTCCGTCGATGCAGGAAACTATCAGCTTGTAATTCAATGTAGGAAACTTTCGATTTCGAGTGGAATAAGTCACGTGCCTTTCCTTCTGTCGGAAAGCTCTTGATGCAAACACTCGTGTCAAAATGTGCACTGCGAGAAAAATGACGCAGCTGCAAGATTGCGCAACACACCAGCCATATAACTAACTTCTGACCCTGCGGGATAACCGGTTTTGGATGAATTTATGGACGGTATTTAAAAATACAGTGAAAAAAACATGACCACATGAGGATAAATATGTTCATCTTGAATGGTCGCACTTTGCATTAATAAATGGTTAAAGCAAATTTGCTGTGCGCTAATAAAAATTAACTATCACAATTTTGTAGAAGTTTTCCTTTATTTATTTTGAATGTTAGAAACAAGAACAGAGAAAGTTCCAAGTGCAAAACACATCACTCATATTTATTGTTATTTAGACATCGTATCACCTCTATAATTTTGGATGCATCTCAATGTTGTTGAAATATTTATAACTGATCAGTGAAAATGAACCTTTCACAAGTGTGTCTAGAACATCACCTTAGATATTATCTAAAAATGATTTGTTTAGAACAGTTTAAAAAGGCAGAATAATTCAACATTAGAAACAGAAACATAAAAAACACAAATTCTGTGGGGATTCTGATATAACATCTTATATATTTTAGAAAATAAATATGTAAACTCTTTTGAAGATTGAAGTAAATGTTTTAAACTCATTTCCAAAGGGGGAAACTGAACACTAGGTTATGTAGAGTAAAAAAAAAACTCAAAGCATTCAAATGTGCATAAAACTTGGAGCATAGGTCCAGTGCTTGGTGATCACAACTGAAAGGGGTGAGGTTTAAGTTCCATAAAGAGAATTCCTTCCGTGTCTTTGGAGATATTGCATATTAACATGTAGGCCTATCAAAATCGATCATGGCTAATTTCTGTCTTTAGTCTTTTTACCTCACTTTTCTCATCTTTAAATATCTCTTTTGAAACTAACTTGAAGGTCTTTGGCAAGCAGGGAGATCAGAGAAGTACTTCCCTGCTCACTCCAAATATAGATTTAAAACTACAGATTTCTTGTTAGAATTAGGCTACCTTTGAAACCCAAAGTTTTTTGTAATTCAACCTGGAGAAACTCACACAGAAAAGCTGCAGTTAGAAAATATTTAATTTGTCCATACAGGTAACAAAATCATATTCTTCAAAATATTCTTATCAAAGGAAAACCTGCGCATTGTGAGGACTCATTGACTCCCTGGAATCCCTTGCATTTAGCATGCTTGTAGCGACAGTGGAGAGGAAAACTCCCTTTTAACAGGAAGAAACCTCCAGCAGAACCAGGCTCAGTGTGAGCAGTCATCTGCTGAGGCCGACTGGGGTTCAAGACATTATTGAGGTCTGATGAAAAACTTAGTGTTTAAAAATTATTTACTACCACTTAATTAATAATTAATGTAAAACATTGTAAGGCTAAAGGGCTGGTTATACTCCCGCAGCAGTGTGTCGCAGTGAGCTTGTCGCAGATATTTTTGTTTCCGAATATTGAAGTGTGGTCTGAGCTGTTATTCCCCACCACAACGCAAGAGGGTCAATCATGAACTATCTGTGGGTCTAGATATGGCCAAGGCGGTAAGGAAGTGGGGGAAGTTTGTGTGATGACGGAGGGACATGAAGGCGAAAAGAGGGAAGATCCAGGTGGAAAAAGGGTCCCAGCCTTCTTGCGAAACCTCAATCTTCTAGCTGGTCCAACTTCACGAGTCGTTTCCCAAAATTGCGGTCATACAAAAAACAAAACAAGCCAATGAGGTACCAAACAGGATATAAGGATAGTGTAGAGTGGATGTGGATTTGACTAATCAGAGGTGCACCAGAGTGTCTGCAGAGGGGACGGGGGAACATTTGCATTCACTGCGACACAAACGCAGACGACCTGGTTTCTGAGTATAAATCAGCCTTTAGTCAAATATATTTGGTTATATTGTTAATTTAATTCACAACTTACTACTGAAACAAGACAAGGGATGTTAAATACACAATTAAATGGACATGTTAATTCAAGCCTAGGAGCTGAGGCTACACCTCAGCTATACCTGCTATGATCCAGCAGTCTACTTCCTAGTCCATCCATCTTCTAGTGTTTGACACTATTCCTTTATTCGTCATCTGCCTCCTCTCCTCTTTCTTTCAGGTTGCATTGGGGTGGTTCTAAGTGGGTTTGGGTAAAGCTATTTTCTAATGACTGCACCCTCTGCTGAGTCTCTTCCCAAGGCCTTCATCAGCAAGTCTTCCCAGTCCTCATACCCAACCCACCCAACCCCTCAAGCTATTACTTTAGAAAATCTTCAATCTCATTTCTTTGTGGAATGGTCCTGGTGAGTGGAAACAAAAATCTGTGATAGTGGCGCTGCAGTCAGATGTAAAATAATTTATTTAAAAACATTTTTAGATAGGCAAAAGAACAATATGTTTCAACATAGCAGAAGCAAATATTACACACGAGTAATAATTGTTCAAATATATAATGCTAAATATTGAGTTTTACAGTTATTGAACGTGAACAAAGGTAAGAATAACATGCTTAATTTACAATAACCACCAAGTTCCTATTCGGAGAGGTAAACTGGCAGCAGTTTTACTTCCTGCGCCACACAGGTATGGATGTCTGTCTGGGAGCCACACCATCACTACAGGGCATGAAGTGGGTACTGGTCTCCAGACACTCAGGAGTGAGCTTTAGACACACAAAGCAGAACTCCACCTGGCAGCGAGGACAGATGATGTTCTTGCAGCCTGTGTTGTCATGCTCCACCCTATTTCCACAGGTGGGACAGGCCCGGATGGAGGGACAGGCATCGACCCCCTGAACCTCAAGCAGGGTGGTGGTCTTGCAGGTCCTGAGTAGTTCCAGGTCACGGTTGATGCAGCCATCATTGCCACAGCGATCAGAGCGAGGAGCTGGGCCTTTCCAAGGCTTTGAGCACTGCCAGCAGAACTGGAACACTTTCTTCTTGTCTGCAGCACATACTAAGCACTGCACGCAGAGGTTAGTCAGGTTCTTTCTTTCAATATAGGTCTTACACCCAGGACACTGTGAGAAAAAGACATAATAGATCAAGCATAACTCCTAAAGTCATGATTGATCTGAGTTTAGAGAAACTTACTGCTCTAAATTCCTGATACTCCGCAGCAGCCAGGCGAGCAATGTTCTCTTCAAAGTAGTTCATTTCTTCCACACTCAGGTCTGCCAGACGTCGCACCTCTCGGTAAGACCACTGAGCACCACATTTCTCCTGTGTTTCCTCATCTATAGCCGGACACCTAAACTTGTACTGGCCCTGGAAGTCAAAACATACATATCATGTCACAATAAACTAATATTGAGTGGAACCATTTAAAAACAAACCATGAGGATAATGTTATATTTTTATTGTATATTGAGAAAATCTATTTTTGTGAAAAGCAGATAAAAGCAACATGACAACATTCTGAGGATTTTGATGTTTTGTTTAACCTTTAAAACATGCTTCACCCCTGCTTTTTTATACAAAAGATTAGTACAAGTAAATAAAAATGCAATAAGCTATAGCTCAAAGGCACCAATAATTGGCGCAGATACAGTATTTTAGGCAGCACGTGAACATTTTCCTTTACATTAATGTGTTACAAATACAATACAATTCTTTTTTTTTTTCATTTATCCTTTATTTAACCAGGTAATACCCATTGAGAATAAAAATCTCTTTTGCAAGGGAGACCTGGAATGGATTTGTTGATAGTAAATAACCACAAGTAATAATGCCTGAGAGTGGCCAATGGGACTGAACCAAGCAAATTTGGTTTATTACAATAAATTAAATTCAAGAAGGTTAAATTAGGGAAACGTGTTGGTAAAATGTGTAGTTTGCCATATTGAGCTTAAATGTCCTATATATCGTTGTTTTCAAAGGACTGATGGAAAGATAGCAACATAAAAAAATGAAACTAAAAACAGCTATATGAAGTTTGACAATGATTTCTTTCTACCTGAGCTGGTTCAATTATTTTCAACCTTAGGAAGTACAGCTGACATTGGTCCGCTGTACTTATATTTAGAAAAAAAAAACCACAATGAACAGTACAAAAGTGAACGAATCATTAAAAAAGGAAATGGTGTTTTTCAAGTGTGGAGTATTGTCATTAGGTACCTGATCCAGCAGACTGCGACACCACCCAGTCAGAGATTGTGGGGTGACGGCATGACCGCAGGACATCTCAGCTCGGAGACCCTGATCTTCATCTTCATCGACTTAGGAGCAGAGAACAGACAGTAAACCAGACACTGTTACCAGGAAAATTACAGTGGAAGAGTACAAATAAACCCGAACTGCCCTATTAGGAAATATTCAGTAACACATATGGTTTAACATAAAAAAATAAAATGTGAATTCTCTCTAATTCAGGTGACAGTCTAAACCAATTAAAATCTAAAGGTTTACACAAGGTGTTAAAGCTAAAGCTAAAGCAAACGACAACTGATATGATACAAACAGCAGTAGCAGTTTATAGTCCTTACACAGAGGATCCAGGTCATCAGGTCTGTCGACAAAACTGAACGTTGTATCCCTGGGGTCATATCTTTTGTCGTCCTCAGCTGGGCTGCTCATTTTAGAGCCACTAAATCTTCTAGTTTGTCTTTTATAAAGAATGGATTTCTGCCTGCTACCAGGGCGTATTCTCAGAGGCTGCAGACTGCTACGCCACTGAGCAAATATTTTAATTTTACTTTCAGTTTCTTCTTAGAAATTTCAGTGAGCAAAATTTACATGAAATCAACCTACCAGGCAGACATATCTGGTGCTGTAGTGCAGTAAAGCAAAGTTGATAAATGAGAACATAATTTTGTATATTTTGAGTTTTACTATAGAGTATTTTTGTTGAAGCAAGCACACTGAAAAACAAACACACCCTGGTGATGTAAGTATTGCTGAAAAACGGAGTGATTTCCTGCAGGTGTCACCAAAGTACAAATTTACACAAGGAATCTCATTCAGTCATTTAAATGAGTTTCTGTCACTCTCATTTTAGTGAAGAGAAAACTGAATACACAGTTGCTGCTTTTGATGATTTTAAGCAAAGAAGCGGTCAGCTGTTTATAATATCACTCATCGATTAAAACAAGAAAAAGTCAAAAAACAGTCAGTTGGTTGATTTTGTGCATGTAAATATGCAACCAGTCCTAAAATAGAAACAGGGAGGTTTCTCTGCCCTAATTTGGGCCGAATCAAACCCTAAACGAGGGAACAACTTGAGTTACTAAAGATGAATACAGGCAGGAAACACCCCTAGCCTCTGGAGGGGTTTGATGACACTCTGTTTAGGCTTTTTCTGCAACTACCCCCCCTGGCTAGCCTGTGAGTCAGATTAGAGATACTCTGCCAGTCTAAAAAGATACACTCACCAGCCATTTCATTTAGTACACTTAATTAATCCTTCATAGCATAGATTCAACAAGGTGCTAGAAACATTTCTCAGATAATTTAGTCTATATTGACATTACTACATCACACATGCTGTCGATTTGTTGGCTGCACATCCATGATGTGATTATAAATATGCCTAAGGTCCTCTATTGGTTTAAGATTTGGTGATTGTGGAGGCTTTTTCAGTACAAGGGAACTCATTGTTATGTTGAAGGAACCAGGCTGGGATGATTCATGCTTTATGACACGTAGCGCGAATCATCTCAAGCAGCAACAGTAGTTGGGTACACTGTGGCTACAAAGGGATGGACATTGTCAATACCCAGGTAGGCTGTGACCTTATGCTCAAGTGATACTAAGAGTCCCAACGTGTGCCAAGAATATATTCCCCACACCATTACTCCACCACCACCAGCCTAAATTGTTGAAACAAGGTATGGATGGATCCATGCTTTTATGGTGCTGAAATGTTCAGAATTCTGACCGAATGTTCAATCCGAATGTTGCAAGAGAAATGGAGACTCATCTACTGCAACCAGGCAACATTTTGCCACTCTTTTATTGTCCAATTTTGGTGAGTCTGTCGAAATTGAGGCCTTAGGTTTCTATTCTTAGCTGATAGGAGTAGCAGATCTTTTGTTGCTGTAGCCCAAACTGCTGCTGTAGTAGGAAGTGCTATCTTTCTATCAGCTCAAACCAATCTGACCTTTCTCCTCTGATTGGAGTGCATTTAGAAGTACATTCATAATCTTGATCAACTGAATACACAGATGAGGTTTGAGGTGTACTTTTCCTGGTGAAAAACATTTATAAATCACTTTTTAATTAATAAGTAATGACAGAGTGATTGGCCAACGATAGGGCTGTGGGTAGCTGGAGATCACACTTCACAGTATATTCGGCCTCAGAAGGCAGCCCGCAGAAGCCTGAGGCCTGTTCTCTAACAGCTTTGACACAGATTTAAAAGTAGCCTACTTTTTGACAAACTGACTACACAGATAAAAGTTTTGAGTTGTACGTCCTTGCTGAAAAACAACCTCTGGAATGTTTTTTGTTGAAATAATTAAATGTTAATGACTGACATTACTGTACAACACACTGACCAATATTACGGCTGTGATTAGCCGGAGATCAAACCTGGGGCTCTATCAGTTCAACAAAGATTTTCAAAGTCAGATATTTCATAATGAAACAACTTCACTGATTAAATTTGTCCCGTTAAAACATTCGTCCCGTAAAAACATCTCTAAAAGTATTCTGTGATAAGCGTAAAATATAAGCAACTTGGGTTTTAAGAGGGTCCAAAGCCCCAAGATAGTACAGCACACAAGCTGGCTGAAAGGTCTTAGATTTAAAAGTAGTGTGTAAAAAGCAGCTGTTCAGCATCTGCTTTACCTGTTGGCACATCTTTTCATCTGTGCTTTAGAAAATATTTGTCAACCTTCAGATTTCTTCCGTTTTTGGATGTTTGTCATAATTCAGTTAATTACATTTTAACTTCTTTAAAGTTGACACAGGACGCGAGCACCTAAATAAAGTTAACAGTAAATTAGTGTTATCTTTTCAGAGAAAACCAGGGTTTCCCTTAAATGTTCTGTTTTTATTGACCACATTGGGTAGAGCTGCAGGATCTTTGCCAAAACTTGCTTTGAACTTGACTGGAGATTACCTCAAACCACCTTCCCGGTACTTTCCAATCAGACTGCAAAGGCTACACCCTTCAGTGACAGCAGATCTGATCTATTAGATAAAGGTGAAGGATATGTGATGTAATTTTATTTTCTGTCTACTTCTCTCCTCATAGTTGTTGCTATGTTTGAAGTTAATCTTACATCTATCTTCTTATCAGAACATGCTCTTGGTAAAACCAATTGCTCCTCTGATGTAGAAGCAGTTATTAGGTATATTATAAAAATATATGATGGAGATCCAAGTTTAGAATTTTGCCAAACAAAACAAGCATATACAACATTAGGCATTGGTAAATTGCCTCCAAGTGAAATTCAAATAATGGAAATTGGTTAAGTAGATCTAAAGCATTCAGCAGATTTTTGATAAAACAGAGTATCATCAATTCAGTTAACTGCAGGTTTAAGATAATAAAAAGCTTTTATGACAATGATCAAAAATATACTTTTAATTTTTCTATTCATATGACTTACTGTACCTCCATTTTCAAAGTCAAAATGCCAACTAGTGTGAAATAATAGAAACCATCTTTACTAAAGAGGGGAATACTGAGCACAGGTAGAGTAAACTATACAATAATAAGTAAAATACAAACTAAGATAAACCTCCCCCAGTTATCTAAAAATTGGAAAATGAAAATTTAAGACAAAAATTCTTATTATATAGTTAAGAATATACTTTGTTTAGTGTTTAACATGACAGCACTTATTGGTCACTAATAAATGAGAAGATATTATAAAAACAGTCGCAGAGATTCCGTTGGTTGATCAACATAAGGAAAGGAAGAATCAGGCACCCCTATATTTAAAGTTGTGATTAGAATGATAGTCTGTTGGTCTGTCCACTCTCACTCTCACTCTAAATAAAAAAAACGATTTGTTTTATAACTTCTCCGTACAATTATTTCAATCTGATACATGACTGATTATTTCACTGAGGTAACGTCAGCAGTCAAAAAAAAGAGGACAATGCTCCTTTCAAATTGACTAAAGAAACTTCAAATAAAAAAAAATTTAACCTTTGATGGGAAAATACTTGTAATATGAATTGATTACTGCAATAGCGTCTTCACAGGTCTGCCTAGTTGACTGCATTCTTTTCTCTCTTAAGGGCAAGATCCAAACATACTTGACCTCCTCTAATTGAGGCAGGAACTTCTTCCTCAAACTGGGAAGGGCCATCTCCATTTGAACTGTGGCCTTGGACTTGGAGAACCCTCTCCTAGTGCATGATTTAGGTCTTGGTTAGAGGGAACCATCAGAAAAAATCTGCTTCCTTTATGATGCATTAATTGAATAAGAAAAAAGGAAGGAATTAGTGCATTGAAGCTGCCTCCCCTCCTTCAACCTCCACCTTAGCGTGGTGGAGGGGTTTCAGTGCCTGAATGTTCCCAGAGGCTATGTTGTCAGGAGCTTTAAAGGTATGTAGGATCTGACAAAAATAGACTGACTGGTAGGGTCTCCCAAGGCAAACAGGCTCTGGGTGACGGGTTAGACACAGAGCAGTTTCAAAAGCCCTTATGAAGACTATTAAATCAAGGCAAATGATGTTGCCCGATACAGTGGAGCTGGGACCCCACCCTGGAGGTCTTCCTTATAAGACCCAGCATGGCCCAGCCCGGAGGTGCGATGCCACACCATCCGCCAGTGGGCCCACTACCTGCAATCGCACCAAACAGTTACTACAAATTAGAGCATAATTTTTATAAATTCCGCAAAACTAAGGCAGTTTAATGAAAGATGTAGGAGATCTTTTCTGACTCCTTTTTTACCATGTGGCTTAAAGATCTTCCCACAGCTCCTTAGCAAGCAGTGAAATAGAAGGTCTGGAAGTGAAACTACAATTAATGGTCCCCGCTATAGTGAGAAATCAATGAAAAACCCCAACCAAACACAAAAGACGGTCCGTTGTAAGTGATTGGCTCCTGACATGTCAATCATGGTCATCTGCTTGTCCTTTCCCCCGTGTGTGTACCCTAACCCATGAACGAATTGACCACCCAATGCTCTTGCAGGACGCCATGGCTGGAAGCTAGCCACTGTTATGCTATATTCACCCCTAAAGCAGCAAGAGCAGCAAAAACGCCCGTGCTGCTTAATTTTTGAGGCTTGTACCAGTTTAGTTGTGATGCGCGGCTGAAGCATCTTTGCTAAGGTGACCAGATTTTGGTTTCTGAAAAGGTGTACACTTTTTTTCGGGGGGGGGGGGGGGGGGGGGGGGGGGGGGGGGGTGTCGACTGCTGGGCCGCTGACTGGACCGGGGCTCAGCAGAGAGCCATGGGCTGCCTGTCCTCAGCTGAGAAGAGGGGCTGGGAACCGGTAAGGCAGGCGGGGGGAAGCATGGGGCCGCCTGTGTCCAGGCTACTGTCACAGTTTAGTCACTCCGTCCACCAGGGTTCCCGGACCAGGCCCACAGCTGATGGGTTGTTCGAATGTCCGGTGTGTTTCGACTACGTACTGCACTGTAGTCTAACAAAATCCCGGACAATTTTGAAATTCCCCACGGACATTTTTTTATGTATGAAAAGTAGGATATAGCCGGGAAAAAGATGACATCACCCTACCATATCGACAATTTGATGTTTCAGAGAGTGAGTGCTTGTTGCTATGATGTGTCTTTGCTTAGCAGCTTTGCTTGTTATAAACCAACCAATCATTGCACAGTTCATCTAAATATTCATGAGCATACCATAAAAAGAAGAAAACCTGTCGTTTCATTCTAGGTCTTATAACCAGGTTTGCATTAGGGCTCATAGAACAGCAAATATGCCATTTTCAGGCCGACCAATGTTACACATCCTATTGAGACCTTAAGGACCAGCACCAAATACCCTATAGAATCATTCTATGACACCTTTCAAGGTCATAAACTTCTGCAGTGCTTAAGCATGCTTGTTTTTTCCGAATGGTAACTTATGGGCTTCACTGACATACAGATTATTTATATGTGGAATTTCACAGACTTAGATCAGGCATAAAAAAATATCCTTAAAATGAACTTTATTTGTTGTAAATGGACCCAATCAGGTCACTTACATATTTCAATACAAAACTGAGAGTCAAGATTTTCAATTTTAGTTTAATCCTACTGATTAGGTTTGTAAAATACAGTGAGTAGGTTTGTGTATTTTTAGTTTCTGCGCCACACAGGTATGGATGTCTGTCTGGGAGCCACACCATCACTACAGGGGATGAAGTGGGAACTGGTCTCCAGACACTCAGGAGTGAGCTTCAGACACACAAAGCAGAACTCCACCTGGCAGCGAGGACAGATGATGTTCTTGCAGCCTGTCTTGTCGTGCTCAACCCTCTGACCACAGGTGGGACAGGCCCGGATGGAGGGACAGGCATCAACCCCCTCCACCTCAGGCAGGATGGTGTCCTTGCAGGTCCTGAGCAGTTCCAGGTCACGGTTGATGCAACCATCATTATCACAGCGATCAGAGCGAGGAGCTGGACCTTTCCAAGGCATCAAGCACTGCCAGCAGAACTGGAACCCATCATCATTATCTTCTGCACATACTAAACATTCTACACAGAGGTCGGTCAGTTCTGCTCTTTCAACGTAGGTCTTACAGCCTGGACACTGTTGGACACAAAATATATAAAAATATAGCTGCATATTGCTAAAAACTGAAATATTGCATAATAAAATTATCTTAAATTGTCCTGGCTCTTACCGTTTTAAAATCACAGTATTCTGCAGCTGCCAGGCGTGCCATGTTCTCTTCAAAGTGCTGCATTTCTGCAGCTGTCAGGACTGCCAGGCGGCGAACCTCCTGATAAGACCACAGAGCACCACACTGCTGCAGGGTGCCATCTTTCAAAGCCGGACACTTAAATTTGTACTGGCCCTAAAAGTTCAAACATAGACAACGTATAGGTAGAAAGCTTAGAGATTTTATATGCCTGAAAGTAAAATAATTATAAATTATTTATTTTCGCACCTTCAACCGGAAATTACTGAGAACCATAAATAAAATATTGACCCATAATCAATAGGAAAGGGAGGATTTTTTTTTTTGCATTGAGGGAGCCATATTATGAAGTAATATGGGATGCTGACAAAGTAAGTCAACCATTTAAACACTTATGTAGTTTAAGCAGGCGATTACATCCTGGTGGCAAAAATATGTCTAAGATGTTTCATTTTTGACATGTTGAACTTTGCAGGAGAAGAACCTGTGCTATGCCTGAATCTATACTTAAAAAAAATGCTTTTTTGAGAAAACAAAAGTAAACCTTTAATTGAAAGTAGATTACAGTGATGTCACCATGCCTATTTTATTGGGGCTGTAGCCCCCCTCTAATTGTTGATGACACACCCAAGTCCAAACATTTCCTATTGTAGAGTCATTTGTGTAACAGACATTGACATTTTTTAAAACTAGATATAAATACGAAAGGAAAAAGCTGGAAAAAAAATACAATTCTTCTCAACTTCCATTGTAACCATTGTATATATAAACATATAAATCAGCCTGACACAGATATTTTCAAAATAGCTAAATATGGCTTCCATTTGATTCACGTTTGTATTTAAAATTAAATCAGGGCAACGTCAAAATATTTGGGAACAAATAATGTTTGTGTTGTAAGCAGAGGTCATATTATAATTTAATGTATTGTGTTTCTGTCACAGTCTTGGTTTTGTTATGTTTATGTAGAGTATTCAGTCTTACTTTTCTCCTTGTTTTAGTGTCTAATTATTATTTTGTTGTTTTCTTGTTAGTTCCTGTCCTCCAAGTTTTCCATTTGTTGTCCTCTGCTGCCATCTTGTGTCCTCTATCCCTAGCTCTGTTTTCTGCTCTGTCCCCCCTTGCTGTTTTCTCTTTCCTGCCAGCACCTGTTGCCAATTTCCTCGTCAGCTCTCTCTTTGTCTCTGTCCCCTTTAAAAGCCCTCCCTCTTCAGTTCTTGTTTGCTGGATCCTCGTCTTACATCTCATCAAACCTCTGGTCAGTTCTCTGTCATCCTTCCTTGTCTCTTCCTGGTTCTTAGTTTTTGCTTTTTCTCTGATGTCTCCTAGATTCTGGTTCTTAAGATATTTTTGTTGGATTTTTTACTCCTGCCTCAGAGCCTGTTAACCTATTAAATCTCTTAATTCATCTCAACCAGCTCGTCTCTGCATTTGGGTCCTCTAACCAACACCACCAAATCGTGACAGTTTCAAGATGTTGTGAAGGATCTGGCAGAGCTTAGAGGTTGAGGGGCAAACATATCAACAATAATATTTCCTGCATTTGTTGTTGTTTTGAATCGAAAATATAGAAAATATAGAATGCCAGAGATATGCACCAGCCCTACAATACCTGGACAGGACAAAGTGGGAGAAGATGAATGGATGGAATTATAGCAATGGTGTAACGACACAACGATAGGCCCGTAAGCAACATTATCTGGGTGGGCCCCATATGAACTACAACACCACAGCTCTTCTTTGCTTTTTCTTTTCTGGAATCCACTTAAGTAACTCTTTTTTAGTATCCATTGTCACTGACACATTGCACATACCGGTTTTAATCTACGCTCTGGATTACCTATAATAAGTTCTATTGTAAAATAAAATACTTGAAAACATCATTCTTTTAAGATCTTTATTGTGGTTACCGTAAATCCTCTAATATAGGACGGGGCCTTTATTTCACTCAGGTACATCTTGCTCCAAGCAATTATTGGAGGGGACCAGAATTGGAGGCAGGCCTCTATTTCTATTTGAGCAAAACAGACTACCAGTGGAATGAATAAAAACGAGATTGTGTGTCTATTTGAACCTATAAAATACTAGGTTCATTTATTGAAAAAGTACAGTTACCATAACGATATACAGAATATTATCAACAAATACCGGTAATTCAAAAAACTTCCAGCAGCTTCCAGGCAATTTTTCTGCATGGCAATACGAAAAAAAAAAAGCATACATAGAATGGAATCTTTGCCAAATCGACTTTCGAAACAAAGTTTATAAAAAATGGGACAAAAACTGTTCTGCTATCAGAGCAACATTTTCTTTGTTTTAGGCTAAGTGGAAGTAGACTACATGTATCATATATCTCAAAGGGAATACAGAACATAATTTTAACGCTGTTCACCACAAAGCAAACATAGTGCATTGTAAACATTTTCCATGGTAATAATTATTCATAACAAAAGGCAACTTACATGTTTAATTACCTGGCCGCTCACTCAAATTGTCTTGTTTAGTTTGAAGTAAAACAAAACAACAACAAAAATATCTCGACTTCTGTTTAATCCTCTACAATTTCCTCTGTCCTAGTCCACAATTGTGTAGAGGACCCACCAGGTCGGGGGGCCCGAAGCAACTGCATACTCAGCTTACCGATAGTTACGCCATTGAAATACAGAAAATCTGATAGTTGTTTAAATTTTTTCACATTAAGGTAACTTTGTTAAATCGGTTCAATTAGTGGAAAAGTAACTTCAGTTTTTGTTAGTTGTTTGAGAAATGCTGTATCACTCACTATGTTTATTTAAATCCTGTGTATCACCTGGGGGCTAAGGCCCCCCCATTCCTTAAAATCGAATGACGCCTCTGCTGAATCAAACGTTGGAAAATACCTGATCCAGCAGGCTGCGACACCACCCAGTCAGAGATTGAGGAGTAACAGCATGACCACAGGACATCTCAGCTTGGAGACCCTGATCTCCTTCCTCCGGGGCTAAAAGACCAGAGGACAGACTCAATACCATCAAAATAGAGACTCCAGTTTTGTTGTGTTTTAATAAATCATGAAGTTCTATTTGTTTCTTTTAAAAGGTACACCGATATCACCATCATAAATGACAAATATATATATTCTTACGCATCGGATCTGTCATGATGGGTTCTCAAATGGAGACCCAATTCTGCAGAACACCACTTGACGGACACAAGGATGAAAGTTTTAACACGTTTATTAGCACAACACACAGAATGTACTGATGACAGGTTCGGGCCTGGGTTCTGGTTTCACCGGAGTCTGCGTGAGAGACAGAGTGGTTAAGGACTGCTGACAGGATCTGATTTCCAAGTGAGCTCTGATTGTACCTTGAGGGTTCTTGAGGTTCTCTTTGGGAGAGTCACTGTTGGTTCTGGAGAGGTGTTTATCAGCAGAGTCCGTTTGCTGCTTCAGCGTCTCACGTCTAGCTTGAACAGACCTTAGCCTTGGTTTCCCAGCTCTGGTCCAGAGCTGCTTGGCGGTTCTCAGAGAATCTTCAGGGTTTGGCTCAGAGGGTCGGCTCGGCAGGTTAGCTCTTCCAAAGCTTTCACGGAGGAGACACGGGTTTCCGGGAAACACAGAGATAGAGGTTAGAATCCAACCTGGATTCAAAGTCATGGAGATACTCAAAGATCTAGGCTTTAGCGCTGACCAACTGGAACAACACTGCGGCGTTGAGGCAAGGTCTGAAGACAGCTTATATAGTGGATCCTCTGATGATCTAGATGAGCTGCAGCTGCGCAGGAGGCTCCCTCAGAGGATCCACGGCGGACTCTGCTGGAGAAAGATGGGATTTTCTCCAGCTCCCAACAGTACCCCCCCCTCAACGACCGCCCCTTGGCGGTGCGGAAGAGGTAGATGGGCAGGAACGCTCGTACTCCTCGATCAGAGTGGGGTCGAGGATGTACGAGCCTGGGACCCACTGACGATCCTCCGGTCCGTAGCCCTCCCAGTCGACGAGGTACTGCCATCCGCGACCTCGTCGACGGGAGTCTACAATGCGGCGCACTGTGAAGGCCGGATGGCCATCGACCTCCAGGGCGGGTGGTGGGGAGTCGGACGGTGGGCACAGAGGGCTCGAAGAAACAGGCTTAATCTGAGAGACGTGGAATGTAGGGTGGATTCGGAGGGACTGAGGTAATTGGAGACGAACTGCTGAGGGGTTGATGACTCGTGAGATCTTGAAGGGTCCAATGAATCTCGGGGAGAGTTTTTTGAGACATCCCCTTGAGTGGAGAGCCACACTTCCTGGCCTTCAGAATACTCGGGGGCGGGGCGTCTCCTGGCGTCGGCGAAGCGTTTAATTGACTCGGTTGACTGGTTGAGTGTGGCGATGGTCTCCCTCCAAATCCTCTGACAGCGACGGATGTGTTGATTGACGGACAGCACCGATATCTCTCTCTCATCTGCAGGGAAAAGAGGTGGTTGGTAACCGAGACTAACCTGGAATGGGGACTGTCCAGTGGATGCAGATCGGAGAGAGTTGTGGGCGTATTCAATCCACGGGAGGTATTGACTCCAATCAACAGGGTTATTGGAGGTGAGACAGCGGAGGGTGGATTCCAGCTGCTGGTTCATTCGTTCTGTCTGGCCGTTGGATTGAGGGTGGTAACCTGAAGTGAGGGATGGCTTGCAACCGAGAGCAGAACAGAAAGCCTTCCATACTTGTGAAATGAATTGTGGACCTCTGTCCGAGAGGATTTCCTGGGGAATGCCATGAAGCCGGAAAACATGTTTAATAAGTAGCTGGGCTGTCTGGAAGGCCGTGGGAAGTTTCCTGAGGGGTACTAGATGGCAGGACTTCGAGAAACGATCAACAATGGTTAGAATGGTGGACATACCTCGGGAGACGGGGAGACCGGTGACAAAATCAATGGCTATGTGGGACCAAGGACGAGAGGGAACTGGTAGAGGTTGAAGCAGGCCTGAAGGAGGTTGGTGTGAGGCTTTGTTGCGGGCACATGTGGGGCAAGCCAACACATACTCCTTTACGTCTCTGTGGAGTGTGGGCCACCAGAAGCGCCTGGAGATGAGAGCAACTGTTCTACTCACTCCTGGATGAGCGGTGAATTTGGCGGCATGCATCCACTGGATCAGACGGGACCTGACAGAAGATGGGACATAGGTACGATTAGGCGGACCGGTACCTGGATCTGGTTCTGTGGCTAGGGCAGAGTTGATAAGATCCGTTATCTCCCAATTGACCACTCCAATGGTACATGAAGCTGGATGAGACGAGAGAGAGAATCGGGCTTCACGTTCTTGGATCCGGGTCTGTAGGAAATGATAAGGTTGAAACGTGAGAAGAAGATTGACCACCTGGATTGGCGAGGATTTGCCTGCTTGGTTGACTGGATGTAAGCCAGGTTCTTGTGGTCTGTCCATACAAGAACCGGATGCTCAGCTCCCTCCAGCCAATGTCTCCATTCCTCCAACGCCAACTTAATAGCCAGGAGCTCTCGGTCACCCACGTCATAGTTCTGTTCAGCGGAAGAGAGTCTACGAGAGAAGAAAGCGCATGGGTGTATCTTCTGATCAGAGTCGAGCCTCTGGGAGAGAACCGCTCCAACCCCAGAATCAGAAGCATCCACCTCTAGGATGAACTGTTTTGTTGGGTCAGGTTGTATCAGAACAGGAGCTCTAGAAAACAAGGATTTGAGTTTCTCAAAAGCAGCTTGAGCCTCAGGAGTCCACTGAAAGGTTCGTTTAATGGAAGTAAGAGAGGTTAATGGAAGGGCGGTTTGACTGTAGTTTCTGATGAATCGGCGATAGAAGTTAGCGAAACCTAAAAACCTCTGCAGCTGTTTTCGGTTTTCAGGAACTGGCCAGTCTAAGACTGCTTTGATCGTGTCTTCAGAAGGTTTTAGACTTAGACTTAGACTTAGACTTCTTTATTTGTCATTTTGTATGCACAGGGTGCATACAGAACGAAATTGCGTTACATACAGCTTATGAACGTTGCATTGATATTTCAAATGGCACGAGTTATAGAAAAATACAAAAAGTGCAGCAGTGGTCAAAGTGTGAACAGTGCAGAGGATAAGAGACAGTGTGCAAGTTGCAGTGGTTCAGTGCAAAATGGCATTTGTGCAAAAAATGCGTTATTGAAAAATACAATGAGATGAACAATTTAAAGGGCTAAAAGTTAAAAGTTCAGCAGCATTTGATGCCCGATAATGTGCAATAGGTGCAGAGTTCGGATTGTGGATCAAAGGTTCAACAGTCTGATGGCAGTGGGGAAGAAGCTCCTTTTACCTGGCCGCCCTCGAGCACAAACCCCAAAAAGGTGACTGAAGGTTGATGGAACTCGCACTTCTCGGCTTTCACGAACAGTTTATTTTCCAGTAGTCTCTGTAAGACAAGACGGACATGTCTCTTGTGTTCCTGGAGGTCCTTGGAATAGATGAGAATGTCATCAATGTACACAAAAACAAACACGTTGAGGAAATCTCTGAGAACATCATTAACCAAAGCTTGAAAGCAGGCGGGAGCATTAGTTAAACCGAAGGGCATCACCAGGTATTCGAATTGGCCCAAGGGTGTCTTAAAGGCAGTTTTCCATTCATCGCCCTCTCGTATCCTAAGGAGATGATAGGCGTTTCTTAAATCCAGCTTGGAAAACACTGTTGCACCCTGTACAGGTTCAAAAGCAGAGGCGAGAAGAGGCAGTGGGTATTTATTTTTAACAGTGATCTGATTCAAACCTCGATAATCAATACAAGGTCTCAGGGAACCATCCTTCTTGCCCACGAAGAAGAAACCGGCGCCCAATGGAGAGGATGATGGGCGAATTATTCCAGCAGCTAATGATTCGTTGATGTATTTTTCCATTGTTTCTCTTTCGGGCTTGGAAATGTTATACAATCTGCTGCTAGGAAGAGGTGCACCAGGTAAAAGTTCAATGGCGCAATCGTATGGTCTGTGAGGAGGTAGGGACGTCGCACTGACCTTACTGAAGACAGGGGCTAAGTCATGGTACTCAGAGGGAACTGAAGAAAGGTCAGGAGAGTCCATCTCCCCCCCACCACTAGGAGGCCCCACCATAGGGGCAGCAGAACGAAGGCAGGTTTCGTGGCACGTAGTGGACCATGATTCCAGAAGACGTTTAGTCCAATTAATGTGAGGGTTATGCTTCTCCAACCACTCGAACCCGAGGACCAGCGGGGAACATGCAGAGGGAAACACAAAGAAAGTTATTGTCTCTCGGTGGTTACCTGACAGAAGTAGCTCGAGGGGCTGAGTTTGGTGGGTAACACGGTGGAGTCTTTTCCCGTCTATGGCGGACACACTGAGAGGCTGAGAGAGAGGAACGGTTTTAATCTGGAGTTGCTGGACGAGGTTAGAGTCGATTAGGTTACGCTCACAGCCTGAGTCGATGAAAGCGGAGAAAGAGAGACTTTGGTTATCACAGAAGAGCGTGGCAGGCAGCAACAAACGAGGAGATTTTATTGTATTTATTTGGCCCGCCAGACTCCTCAGATCCTCTGGCGGGCCCCGGCTTTTGATTTTGCCGGGCAGGAGGCGATGAAGTGTCCACTCTCGCCACAGTAGATACAAAGTTTACTTAGGAAACGCCTCTGTCTCTCCTCAGGAGTGAGCCTAGTGTGTCCCACCTGCATTGGTTCAAAATCCCTTTCCCCCGAATGAGAGGCTTGAACAGGCAATGGTAGAGATTGGGGATTGGACTTCTGAGTGGGCATCTGCTCTGTAGAGGGAGAACAAACAGTCACATTAAGAGAGGCAGGAGAGAAATTACTCAGCTTCTTAGAACTGTTTCTGGCACGAATCCTATTATCAAGCCTAATGGAAAGGCGAATTAAATCCTCGAGGGAAGCTGGTTCGTCGAGGGTTGCTAGTTCATCTTTAATCTGTTCGTTTAATGCCATGAAGAAGGCTCCCTTCAAGGCGCTTTGGTTCCATCCGGAAGCTGCCGCCTTAACCCGGAAGTTTATTGAAAAATCTGCCACCGATGAATTTCCTTGTTTAAGGCTGAAAAGAGCTCTGGAATCAATAGTTTGTTCAGTTTCCTGGTTGAAAACTTGGAAAAATTCAGCAATGAAGTCAGAAAAACGGCAACTTAAACTGTCGTCAGTAGCAAATCTTGCCTGAGCCCACTCCAAGGCTCTTCCTGTTAACTGAGAAAGAATGAACGTTATCTTCTTGTGATCTGTGGAAAAGCTACCAGGAGAGTTCTGAAAAATCAACCTACACTGGAATAAAAATCCTTTGCAATCTTTCATGTTACCGGAGAATTTCTCTGGAAGACTAGGGCGGAACTCTGATGACGTCACAGGTTGTGACCTCGGGGGAGGGACTGGACCAGGAAATGGTTGCTGTACAAACGCAGCATTAGCGCTGCTGAAATAATTAACGTAACTTTGGATTGCTTGATTCTGTCTTTCAATGTGGGTGTTTAACTCACGTAGAGCCAGGCCATGTCCATGGATTTGGGCAGCCTGTTCCTCTAGTCGACGGAGTTGGTGATCTGCTGGGCCTTGAGTTTGGCCGCAGTGTTCTGTCATGATGGGTTCTCAAATGGAGACCCAATTCTGCAGAACACCACTTGACGGACACAAGGATGAAAGTTTTAACACGTTTATTAGCACAACACACAGAATGTACTGATGACAGGTTCGGGCCTGGGTTCTGGTTTCACCGGAGTCTGCGTGAGAGACAGAGTGGTTAAGGACTGCTGACAGGATCTGATTTCCAAGTGAGCTCTGATTGTACCTTGAGGGTTCTTGAGGTTCTCTTTGGGAGAGTCACTGTTGGTTCTGGAGAGGTGTTTATCAGCAGAGTCCGTTTGCTGCTTCAGCGTCTCACGTCTAGCTTGAACAGACCTTAGCCTTGGTTTCCCAGCTCTGGTCCAGAGCTGCTTGGCGGTTCTCAGAGAATCTTCAGGGTTTGGCTCAGAGGGTCGGCTCGGCAGGTTAGCTCTTCCAAAGCTTTCACGGAGGAGACACGGGTTTCCTGGAAACACAGAGATAGAGGTTAGAATCCAACCTGGATTCAAAGTCATGGAGATACTCAAAGATCTAGGCTTTAGCGCTGACCAACTGGAACAACACTGCGGCGTTGAGGCAAGGTCTGAAGACAGCTTATATAGTGGATCCTCTGATGATCTAGATGAGCTGCAGCTGCGCAGGAGGCTCCCTCAGAGGATCCACGGCGGACTCTGCTGGAGAAAGATGGGATTTTCTCCAGCTCCCAACAGGATCCAGATCACCTGGTCTGTTAACGAATTTCAGCGTAGTGTCTCTTGGGTCGAATCTTTTCTCATCCTGACCCGGTCTGCTCATGTTGGATCAGCTCAGCGCCTCTGCTCCTCGTCCTATGCAGCCGGGCTCCAATGCAGCTGCTGCTACGTCACATGTAAAATCAACTTTTACTTTCAGTTTCTTGTCTTTCTTTTTAAGTTTGTTTTTATTTACAACAAGACAAACAATAGTATCTAAGCTTGACCGAATTGATTTTAAATTCTCTTTTTAAACAATGTATAAAAGATAACATGTAAGTGACGTTATTTAGATTTTTTTTTTTAGCCTTTAAAGAGGAATTCAAACAATATATTAGATCTCAGCACTATTCAAAAAATAGAAAAGCCATTATGATAATATTTTTGCTCTCACTTTGATATATTTCTGAGTTAACCTGTATTTATTTGTTTGCTTTTCGATTTGTTTGTGCTTGCTAAATAACACCCTGGCATTACTGTCTTGACTGTATGGTTACCAGTGGTGGTTCTAGACTAAAAGTACCAGGGGGCCAGGAAGGGGCCAGGAGGGGGCCAGCGAGTTTTCGTGGGGGCAAAGAAAAGCGCGAATTAAAAAACAGGGCTAGGGATTCAAATATATTAATATATCTACATGAAGTGAAATTTCCATTCAATTAGGTTCAATTAACCTTCTATGTCTTCCAAATGAAAATATTTATTTTTGGCTTGAAATTGAATTAGATTATCTTTTAAATCAAAATAAAAATCTGTTAGCATAGCAATAAAGCAACTCAAAAAAATCGTAGCTATATAAATATCTAAAAGATAAAATAAAATTAATATTTGGAATATTAGTGTCAGGGTTCCTGTGTGTGGGTTAGTGTGAGTTGTACATCTCTACAATACATCTTTGTGGAGAACTTGGGTAGCCTACACAGGTGAAAAGACATCTTTATAATCATAGTGCTGGGCTTAAAGAGCACAAGAGCCTTCTTTCAGGGCTGGTTTCCTGTGTGTGTTGAAGATGTGAGTTGCTTCCTAGTCTTTTGCTTCACTTGAGTATTTTTCCTGACATTTATTGGTTTTGTTTCGTTTTCAGTAATTTTTTTTTTTCTTTGATTTTTGCCTCTGTTTCCCTTGGTCATCTGTGCCTACTCCTCTCTGCATTGGGTCCTCAAAACCTCCACCAAACCTGACAATTAGGTCAATATACATTCATAATTTAGGAATTTTACATATTTTTATTGTAATTTAAGTTAAAATGACAGTTTTCTATAAAATCAAAATTAGAAATCAAGAAAAGCTGAAAAATTAAGCTGTAAAAATTTTAGGTTTTTTTTAAAGTGTTTTGGGAAAAAAAACTGGTATCCTATCTCAATACCACTGAAGCCTTATTACCCCCCTATTGTTTTTTAAAGAAAAAATAATGAAATAGATCCAAAGGACCGATCAGTAACCATGTCTGTTCCAACGCAGATCATCATTAGAATTTCTTTTAGTATTATGTCTTCAGTACAGGGGCCATAACTATGGAGGACTGACTCTGCCATATATAAAAATAAATACAGAAATAAATAAATGCTCAATAAATAAATAAGCATACAATTAATTGCCACCAAAAATAAAATAAAGAAATAAATGTAAGTAGAAATTAAATTATACAGTGAGACATACATGAATATAACTCTTTTAATTAGCTTCTTTATTTATTTGCCTTTGTAATATTTACCTTATTTTTTTGTCCTTTATAATCTTCAACTTTATTTTTTAATTACTTACATTTTTAAGTATTTGTTTATGTGCATGTTATAATATTTTTTTTTTTTAATTACGCATTAAATCTGTGAATGGGCCATATAGTGATGTATAATGTATAATATAACTTAAGTATAAGTATAATGTTCTCGCCTCAAATAATCTTAAAACATACTTTTATTGAACAACAGCAGCAGAAAAGAGAACATTTAACTTAATACTCTGAGCTCTGTGAGTGTTGGGATCCTGAGGCTTGCCCACCAGAGGGCGCCGAGGATCCCTTCCTGGGGATTTTCTGTTACTGTTGGGATCTGGGGTTTTTTCTGTCTACCTTTCTCCACCAGAGGGCGTACTGAATCTCCTGAGGCTGGAGCTGACTTCTCCATCTGCTCATCAGGAGACCAGTATTTAAGTAGGCTGAGGACCACACTCCGGTGCCAGAGTGTTAGTCAATCATGGTACACCAAACCCTGAGCCAACTAGTCAGTCCTGTCCCCTGACCACCAGAACTGAACCTGAATCCTTGTCTTCTCTGTTTCTCAGGTCAAACCTGCCAGCAACCAAAGACCCCCAGAAGAGTTTGCTGTTGAAGATCGGTCTGTCTGACCTCAGCAGAACCCTGAAGAACCAAGCCTCAGTCCTCAGCCTGCCATCTGCCTCTGAACCCTCCTGGCTCCCCCCTTCGGCCTGCTCAGCTCACCCTTCGGCCTGCTCAGTTCAAGCCTCAGCCCTCAGCCAGCCGTCAGCCTCTGAACCCTCCTGCCTCCCCCCTTCAGCCTGCTCAGCTCACCCTTCGGCCTGCTCAGTTCAAGCCTCAGCCCTCAGCCAGCCGTCTGCCTCCAAACCCACATCTGGAGGTCTTCAAGCCTCAGCTAAGCCAAGCCGCCCCTAAGGCCTCAGTCTGCCGCCAGCCTCTGGACCCTCCTTGGAATCATGTTGTCTGTTGCTCTGCTCAGTTCCAGGTCAGCAAACCAGCCGTGACCAGCCCTGGACCTGATAACGCCCTGACCAGATTTTCAATAAACCTTTGAACTTTTACCCTGCCTCTGGAGTGTTATCTGCATATGGGCTAGAACCTTACACCCATCATGACAGTGCACTCTGGCCAACAAGCTAGCCCCGTGGAAACACCCTCAAACTCCTTCAATCGTATTCTCCGGTTCTTCAAACAGTCCATAGATGATCTTTCCACCATTACTCCACCCCGTAAACTAATATCTGCAGCTGATATAATTACCACCAAACTCAAGAAATATCCAGACATCAACAATAACCTTCAGCAAGCCGGATATGTCAACCTCATCAACTGGAACATTCAGGACGCTTTTTCAAAACTACCATTCAAACTTTCTCCACCTACCTCCGAACCTGATTCTCCATCTGCTGCCACTGCTGGTCCGCCTCTGCCTTCTGCCTCCTCCAGGCGTAGGAATCGCTGCTGGGGTAAGAGAGCCACATCCTCTGCGGTGGTTCAGCCTGACGCTTCTACTCCTTCTCCGGTGGGTCAGTCTGACGCCTCCATCCTCCCTGTAGTCCAGCCAGCAGCAGTAATCAGTCCACATCCTTGCCAGGTCAGTTCCATCCGTCTCCGCAGCCACCTTTCAGATCAACAGTTAGCGTCCTCAGTCAGAAAACTCAAATTTGGTCCACAAATCAATCCCCAAACAGTTAGAGCTCTCCGCCAGTCAGATTCCAGATCAGAACCAGTTAGTTTACCTGTTTTCCCTGTCTCTGAGTCCACCAGCGTTCCGTTTTCCTCAGTTCCAGCACCGGTTAGCCATCTTGTTTCTCTAGCCTCAGGACCCGGAAGTGATTCAGTTCCGTTAGCCACAGAACCAGTTAGCATACCAGTTTCCTTAGCTTCAGGGTCTGTCAATCATCCTTTTTCTCCTGTTTCTATTTGCACTTCTTATCCTTTAGTTCCAGTGCCCGGTAGTGTTTTTGTTCCACTAGCTTCAGAACCCGTCACCATTCATGTTTCTCCGATTTTTGAGCAAAGTAACATTTCAGATTCCTTAGCGTCAGAACCCGGAAGTAGTTCAGAATCGCCAGTTTCGGAGCCAGTTAGTTTATCCGCGTCTCTAGCCATAGAACCCCAGACAGTCAGAGCTCCCCACATTCAGGAGTCTGACCTCTGGAATTTTTATTATGGGGATAGAGACGATCTCTTCCCCTTCATGCCACCTCATTTTTCTCTCTGCCAGCCAGATCAAGCGTCACCATCCATTTTTAATCCAGTTAGCCTAGACCCAGAACCAGTTAGTGAACCTGATAGCAAACCAGTTAGCTTTGCGTCCGAACCCATTTACACATCTGTTAGCCTTTTGCCAGAATCAGTCTGCAAACCAGAACCCATTAGCCCAGCTTCTAAGAACCCCCGACGTAAGAGACGGCGTCGCTGTAAGCCCGCTCTGAGCCGTCTAGAGACCCCTGAACCAGCTCTGAGCTGTGTAGAGACCCCTGAGCCAGTTCTGAGCCGTCTAAAGACCCCTGAGCCAGCCCTGAGCCGTCTTGAGTCACAGACATGTTCACAAGTCATTTTTTGCAAGTCCAAGTCAAGTCTCAAGTCTTGAGAGCTCAAGTCCAAGTCAAGTCTCAAGTCTTGAGAAGGCCTGTCACAATAATCAATTAATCGCACAAAAAATTCTAATCACTTGATTAATTAAAAAAAGTGCAATAATTTTCGTGCTTGCTTGTTTCTCCTTGTGTTTTCATCTTCGTCACTGAGACGGTATAGCTTAAAGGTCGCTATTATATCTATGGAATTATCATTATCTTGAACTGCTAAATGAAAAATACAATTAAAGAAAGCACACACGCAAAAATTTTTTCCAGATAAATTTTTCATTTTTAGTTTTTTTTCTTTTAAAAAAACTATTTTCTTACAGTATTTACCTGACGTTTATGGTTACAACTTTTTCTAGTTTTAGCGAGTATTTTCAATTCAATTCAGTTTATTTATTTAGCGCCAATTTACAACATTATTCACAACATATTTCTCCTCTACCACTGCCATGAAGCTTTTAAAGCTGGGCTTGTCGATCAAAGACAAGGGGAGGTTGCATGAAATAATAAGGTCCTGAATTATTGCCTTATGTCTGTGATGTCCCTGGCTGTACACCTGCACTAGATGTGGTGGACCAAGCATTGTGTATTTTTTTCTAAAGAAGCTGCAGTTTGCTGCTCTTTTATTCTCGCCTCATGTAAAGTTTTTGTAGCCAAAGTTTATTATGAACGGTGGCACCGAAACAGGGGGGGTTATCATCGCTTCCATATCTGTATGGGTTGCATGCATGCATGCGCACTGGCATATATGTCACGTACTGTTGCGTCAGTGACGTCAGTGTGTTGCACAGGGAAAAATATGATTTATGCAGGGCCGTGCAGAGACCACTAAAGGGGCAGGTGCTCAAAAAAAAAAAGGGCACATTTTATCGCATTTTAGGACAGAATATTAACAAAGTCACATAGCTTTCAGAGTTTAATGAACAATGATAAATTACAAAATTGTGAGACATACAATCAAAGCTAAGAGAAATCTCTACATAGAACATAGAACTATGCATATGTAAAATCTTTTATTACTAATTTCTTTCTGCAGGTCTATTTTCTTATAGGAAAGTATTACAATATTCAAACCTGCAATTTAGCCAAAGATGTAAATCAGAGCTGGACCACCAGACATATTTTGTCTTTACAGAATTAAACTGTTAAAAATGCATACAAGGGCACAATGCAACCTTTTAGTGTACTGTAATCTATAAAAAGAATGTCTGCCTGGTTTGCTGTACTGACAGTGGAGATGGAGACGGTCCATTCAGAAAAGCAGAGCTGCTGCATCAAACTTTAACGTGGAACTGCAGAAAAAAAAAGAACAAAACAAACATTTTATTAATGCATGTCACCATGAGAAAAGCCTACTCTGTTTGTGTCTTAGTGTATTTTGTAAGTACCTATATACATTTTCTTCAATCTTTCCCCTTCGTTTTTTCTTGTCAGTTTCTCTTTTCTTTTTTTTCCTCATTATCTCATCTTTTCTGTGTTGAGTGAAGGTCAATGTCTTATTTATTTCAGTCTCTTGCCTTTCTTTTCCCCCAAACTAAATCCAAGATTATGATCCAAAAACTTATTTTCCGTCATGGTGATTGTACTGTTTGAAAACAAATTTCCAACTTTTAAGCATTTTTGCTATTTTTGTTCTCTTTTGTTCACAGCAGCAGTTTTCTGTTAGCCATGTCTTTAAAAATGTTAATAACCTCACTGTGAATGATTGGCACATCCTTCTCGATTGCCAACAAAAGAAGGTCTGACAACCGATCCTCCTTGCATAAGCTGCGCAGTTTTGTTTTCACCAGCTTCATACATTATATCTATCATATATCTATCATAGTAGTTCTGGATGAGTTCTCCTTCAAGATACATTTACCTAACGCTAGAATAAATTAAATGTACATCATGCAGCAAAGGAAATTAGAAAATCAGACATATATCCGTTATGGAGATGATAGGTTTTTGACGGGCGATGTGCCCCTACTGCATAAGTAATACTGAAGAATGTCCTATTATCATTAACGACACAGGGAAGCTTTTTAGTTATCTTGCTTTGCTAGCAAAGTCATTAGCTAGCAGCTAGCTCATAGCACAAGAACAACAGCCAGTCTGTATGATAAAAATACTGAATCGATAGATAAGAACAGCTTTTCCTCACCTGGCTGTCTCCTCCCGCTCAGTAGTTCTTCAGAGAAAGGCGCGCCGCGTCCTATACTTTCCTCCGTTTAAACCGCTACTCTTTGCTAAAGTAGAGAAATTATACAACGTTTAAAGTTTTCCATTGTCTGACAAGTAGCAAGCCTACTCCAGTATTTTCACCAAAAATTATGTTTTTTTAATTCACAAAAAAACTGTTCTGTAATCATTACAGAACAGTTTTTTGTGAATTAAAAAACATAATTTTCAATGTAAAAGACTAAAAGCACAGAGTAAACAGTGTTTTAGATCAAACAATACTGCATCATCCATGGGGCTCATTTGGTTTCACTTACATGTCTATTCAGGTTGACATTGGAGAGGCGGCGCAGACTGAAGACAGCCATCCGTCCGATCATGGTTGATCTTGCTTAGGGCCAAATGAGCAGCGGCCACAGTTTAATGTGGAATGTTCGCTACATTTAGCTCCGCAGTTAGGCGCCTTATCTGACTGTGCGAGAGGCAAGTGCATCATCACCGGCAAAAGGTCAAGGGTAACAATGTGACCGGAGGGCTTATTGTATTGTTTTTCTTGCCAAAAAAAAGATAATAATAATAATTTCAGTACATGTGTCAAATAAAAAAAAAAAAAAAAAGAAAAAAAAAAGGGCACATTGGGATCATGGAGCAAAAGGGGCAGGTGCTCAAGCCCCCTTAGCCCCCCCCTCTGCACGTGCCTGTACAGCAAGAATCAAACCTCAGGATGAAAAAGGATGGTTTGAGTTCAATGATTCCTGTGTTACAATGGTGAGAATGATTGTCCTATAATAAGGATTTAAAAGAAGGTGGATTTTAAGTTTATGTATGTGAAAATCAGTATTTCACTTTAGTATAAAAAATATAATCTAAAAAAGAGTTTTATCTCTATTTGCTTTTTATTACAGCTTTATAACCGGATGTCTCAAATGGACAACTTTGAGAGGTTCGCTGCTGCCCTTTGTTTTTTTCTGTTGATTTTGCCGTTTATATTAAACTCAACTTTATTTTTGTTTTTTCTGCACCAGATCCCAGAGTGCCTATCTCCTGTTTTACAGGAAGAAAGGTAAAAGGGAAACAGACTTTACCAGGATTAATATAGATCAAGAAAGCGAAGAAGATGAAGAGAGCAGAAAATCTAAAGATGACTTGTCTGATATTGAGGATCAACTAATTGTTAAAGAGCAGATAAACGTGACTTCAAAAAGAAGTTTGATTTGTAGAAGATTGTTCAACAGGCGCCTAAATAATGTTT